TGATCAACCATCCACTCGCAATTTATTGTTCTTGCGACGATTTGATGTTAAAGAAGCATTCTGCAACAATGAGTACTTGAGAAAAATAAGGAATCTACAGGATCTTGAAAATACATGGAATTTCATGTTCTTTATAATGTAGATTCAGTGTTGAAAAACTTGGAACTCTTTAGGCTCTGGATGGGACAGAAAAAGACATCTATAAAGTGACAAAGTGACCTTGAAAAAAAATTTCTAGACATTTTTTGTAATAAATAGCAACAATTCGCCGAGTTAATATGCAAGCATCTCATATTATTAACATTCAGTTTAGTTGAAATTATGACCATGAGTGCATCTATGCTCAAAGTTTTACATAAATGAATAAGGGTAAAGTATTTTAAGAATCTTGAGAAGAGCAAGGGTACAATTTTTATGCTCTTGCTTTTAAAGGGAAGAGGAGGCAGAGTTTTGTTTTACATATTGATTCCTCTGCCCAGGTTGAAAAATTTGTCCACCCTACAATTTTGTCATGGAGAGTCATTGGAAGCTCATACTTACACAAAAATTGTTTATGACCTTAGGATGTGTCCTGACCTTGAATAAAGGTAATTCCTGCAAGTTTAAGGTCACTGGCAGAAAAGTATAAAAACTTGTCTGGGATTTAGTTTTGTAAAGGAGAATCATTGGAAGCTCGTACTTGTTGCAAAGATTGTTTATGACCTGAGAGTGTGTCAAACTAGGGTTTTCAATTCGGTTCAAAATCAGAATCGATTAATCGGCAGTATTGATTGACTCTAATCAACTGATAATCAGACTCTAAATTTTATATAAAACGTGGAAGCTTAATTTTATAATAATACAAGTAAAAGTGTATTATACAGATTACAATTCTAAATCCAGTATGCAGTTTGAGTATCATTTTCAGTATTAATACATATTTTTTGCATGATTAAGATTAACTTGACCTGGGTAAAAAAAAATCCAAGTGCTGACAGAGTCTTAATCAACATGTTCACTTTAAATATGGAATTAAATTTTAAACTGTTTATTTGACAGTATATTGTCCATATGAAATGGAAAGTGATTTTTCCCGCAAACACTGATAACCAATATAATTTATTTATACAAGCAGTTTAGTTGTACTTATCGGTAAGGAAACCAGTTTTTCATATTAAATTCAGATTTTCAGTATGTTAAAATGGTGAATGACAATACTTAGAAGATATATATGGAAATAATACATTGATAACAAAAGCTTCTTTTTTTTTAAATAAAAGTGAGAAAACAATAAAAAGATAAGTGCTGTATTATCTGGATTATAATGGATTGTTAAATCTCAAATCGATTATCTAAAATGACAGCGTTTCTGATTGATGATCGATTATAAATCAGTCATTGTGAAAAAATAGTCATAACCTTGATGCAAGATCATTGTGGCAAAGTTCAAGGTCACAGGTAGAAAAAGTGTAAAATTCAGGTCTAAAATTTTCTAATGGAGAAAATTGGATGTCCACATTTCACTAAAAGATTACTTGTGAACAAATGGATGTGTTCTTTTTTTAACCAAGGTAATTTTGGCAAGTTCAGGGTCTCATTTACGAAATTTGAAGTCGCCCACATGGCACAATGGTCAAAACGTTTGTTCTTGAGTCGCAGAATAAGGAGTTGATCCTGACGTCGCAGGTTTGAATCCCACTGCGGGATGTGGAGACAATCCGGATGAGACCGTATAAACCATGGTCATGTGCTGCATTAGGTGCTGGCATGAAAAAGATCCCTCACTGCTCAGTGGCCCTGAGTGCCGAGTGTAGATCTAAGTTTGAAGCCCTCCACCAGCAAGTGATGGTGTTGCCATATGAGTGAAAAATTCTCAAGAGGAGTAATAAACAACAAACAAACAAAATTTGAATGGGCTATAAAAACAATTATAAGGAGGGTATTATTTTGTAAGCTCCCTCACAGTACCTGTAATTTATTATGTGCTTTATGTGCCTTAGGTTATTGTGGTTTTAGGTTTTCTTTTGTTGTTATTTTGTTATTGTTTACAATTTTCTTAGATGCCAAGAAAGGGGAAAGCATCCCAAAGAGCCAGAGATATGGCTAAAACAAGATGGGTAGCAGAGACTCTATCAAAGGACGGTAAGCATTCTATTTCAGGTGAAGATCCTTTAAATGCCTTGAAGTTGGTACCTCTTCAAGGAAGTCTGCCTATCCCTGAGAGGGGTAACATACCAATGTCTGACTCGCTGTCGTGCGTTTGTACACCAGCGAGTGTACCTTCACCAGTGTGTGAAGCAGGGCAGGCGCCACTAACTGACTCGCCGCGATGCGTTTGTACACCAGCGAGTGTACCATCACTGTCAGAAGTGGGTGATGCAGTTAGTAAGACAAATCAGAAAAGGTGCAAGATTCAAAATGAGGAAAATATAGAGAACAAAAATGAGAAAGAAATACATGAGATCAAAATAAAAAAATTGGAAAACAAAAAAAAGGAAATGGGTGAGAACAGAACAGAGAAGACACATGATGATAAAAGCCAGGAAATGTACCCCCATACAAGGAATATTCAACTAGAGGCTGGAGTAGAAAAAAGAAAGGAAAGGAAAACAGGTGAGGGTATTGACACTGGAATGTTTTTATCTGTGCAAGGACACTTTCATCAAGGCTGTTCTGATCTTTTTGGATTTTCAAGTGGTAAACAATGTGTAGCTAATGCCTTATCAAGCATAATTTTTTCCAAGGTAAAAATTCAAAATGTTTGGTCATCATCAGACATTGATAGGATTTTGACAACTGGGAATGAACTGTATGGTTATCTGCAAGCAAGTTCAACTGTGCAGAATGAATATTTATTAATAAATGAACTACCAAGTGAGATAGAAGTTTATGACAAGTGCTTCTCTATGCAGATCTTTGAATCACATGTTGGTTTGATTGGAAATGATAAACAGTCAGAAATTGATGGTGAAACATATGGCATTTCAATTCTAGAAGCATTGCAGAAGTCTTTTGAAGTGGCAGAATGTTCCTTTGTTTGCTTTGGAGGAAACGCCTTTTCTGTCATGAAAGTTGGAAAACGATACTTTCTTTTTGATTCCCATGCACGAGATCATAAAGGTTTACTTGATGCCAATGGAAAAAGTACATTGATTGGAATAGAGACATTGGAGGGTGTGGCACAACATTGTTTGAATTTGGCATTATCTCTCTCTGTTGACCAGAACTCTCAGTTTGAAATAACTCCAGTAAATATTACTGAATCAGGTACAGATGCCCTACAAGTAATGGGGGAAATTTCGTCTGATGGAACAGCAGAACATATAAAAAATGACAGTCTTCTTGACAGGTATTTTGATGATCAAGAATGTAGACAGAAAGGCATGATCAAAAAGAAAGAGGAAGGAAAGATCAATACTTCTAGAAAAGAGTACATAAAAAATTACATGAAAAACTGGAGGAATAAAGAACATGCTAGAAATATTGAGAAAGTAAGAGACAAAGTAGCAAAGCAAGAGAGAAGATTAGAAACCGAAAAAAGAAACATAGAGAGAGAGAGAGACAAAGTGGCAAGACAAGAAAAAAGGTTAGACAATGAAAGAAGAAAAATTGAGAGAGGAAGAGAAAGAAGAGCAAGGCAAGTAAAACGATTAGACAAAGATGCTAGAAACATTGAGAAAGAAAGGGACAAAACAGCAAGGCAAGTAAAACGATTAGATAAGAAGATTAGAAACATTGAAAAAGAAAAGGACAAAACAGCTAAACAAGCAAAACGATTAGATGAAGAGACAAGAAACTTTGAAAAGGAAAGGGACAAAACAGCAAGACAAGCAAAACGATTAGACAAGGAGATTAGAAACATTGAGAAAGAAAGGGACAAAACAGCAAGACAAGCAAAACGATTAGATGAAGAGACAAGAAACATTGAGAAAGAAAGGGACAAAACATCAAGGCAAGCAAAACGATTAGATGAAGAGACAAGAAACATTGAAAAGGAAAGGGACAAAACAGCAAGACAAGCAAAACGGTTAGATGAAGAGACAAGAAACATTGAGAAAGATAAGGACAAAACAGCAAGGCAAGCGAAACGATTAGACAAAGAGATTAGAAATGTTGAGAAAGAAAGGGACAAAGCAGCAAAGCAAAGAAAGAGGAATAACCCAATATTTAGACTTTCTGAGAAAGAAAAAGGGAGAATTGCTAAGCAAAAAGAAAGGAAGAATATAGATGTAATGAAGAATGAACGTGACAGAGATGTTAAAAGAAAACGAAAGAGTAGGGAAGATTCTACATTTCTTGAATTGGAACGCATTAGAAAATCTGTGAAAAGAAATAATGTGGATTATCGTGTGAAAGAAAAATTCAGAGAAAAGAGTGCTAAAGCCCATAAAAGGAAAGATCCACATTTCTGTAGGATAGAAAAGATTGCCAGAAAATGCAGAAAGTATGGTTCAACACTGTCAGAAGCAATATCAGTGTTTAACAAAAGAACAGAAGAAGGGCCATTATATGTATGCACTTGCTGTCAGCAGACTTGGTTTTCTCATTCAGTTGTTGATAGCAGCTTTCTTAAAAAAGATTTACCACCTGAAGATGTTGCAAAATTCCTCAGCAAATATATATCAGTTGGTGGAAAAGAATGGATATGCTTAACATGTAAGAAATCAATACAAGATAGGAAAATGCCAAAGTTGTCAATAGCAAACAATGTACAGTTTCCTCCCAAATCAGAAGAACTTGAACTTCATCAGTTAGAAGAACGCCTCATAGCTTTACGGATTCCATTTATGCAAATAAGGGAGTTGCCTAGAGGTAGACAATTATCTATCAAAGGAAATGTTGTTAATGTTCCAGTAGATATCCAACCAACTGTAAATTCTTTACCAAGACAGTTTAACAATGACATCACAGTTCCAGTCCGCTTAAAGAGGAGACTAAGTTACAAAACTTGTGATTTTGTGGAAAATGTGAGACCACAGCATGTAATCATTGCATAACACTGGTTGATGAGAAATAGCCAAATGTACAAAGATGCAAATATTCATATAGATGAGGACTGGGAAGCCAGAATAACTGCTGATAGCAGTGAAATCATTTCAGAATATTTCAACACAAGTACATCTGGGTGTACTGAAGGAAGGAATACAAACTTTGGTGTTACATCAGATGTGTTAGAAGAAAGTACTTTTGAAGAAATTGATGAAAGAGAAGGACACTCTGGCAGCTGTGACACATTACTGGATGATGCAAATCCTGTTCAAGATCAGGTATATACATTTGCTCCAGGAGAAGGACAGACACCATTGAGTTTGTACACAGATAAGGATGCAGAATTCTTGTCTTTTCCAACCATTTACTGTGGTCAGAGGATGGCTTCAAATGATGATCGTAAAGTTAAAGTTCATTACAGTGATCTTGTGAAATGGGAACTAAGAAACATTGACAGACGTGCAGCAAATAGTGTGCCAAATTTATTTTTCAAAATGAAGAAAATTCAAATGAAGCAGATATCGGACAAAGTCAATCTTGTATTGAGAAGATGCAAGGGCACAGAGAAGAAATTAACAGCTGGTGATGTTCTCAATCAGGAAGTACTTGACAAGATAACAAGATTAGATGAAGGATATTACATTTTTAGAACTTTGAGAAACAGTCCTCCCTATCTAGAGGCAAAAAAGAAGGAGTTGTTTGCCATGATTAGACAACTGGGATTACCAACTTGGTTTTCATCTTTATCAGCAGCAGATACAAGATGGCCTGAGTTGCTCAAAACTCTTGCTCAACTTAATCTCAAGAAATCACTTACTGATGAGGAAATAGACAAAATGACATGGGCTGAAAAAACTGACCTGGTGCAAAAAGATCCGGTGACATGTGTTCGTTTTTTTGATCATAGAGTACATGTGTTTATCAATACAGTTTTGAAGAGTGAGCATCATCCTGTTGGGGAACTGATAGACTTTTTTTATCGTGTTGAATTTCAACACAGAGGATCACCTCACATTCATATGCTCATGTGGATAAAAGATGCTCCAAAATTTAAGGAAGATCCAGTTACTCACATTGCAAAATTCATAGATAAGTATGTATCTTGCTCTGCAAATTGTGATGATGAAATTGCACCACTTATAGAATTACAAATTCACAAACATTCCAGAACTTGCAGGAAAAAAGGAAAAGACATTTGTCGATTTGGATTTCCTCAGCCTCCTATGGATTCAACTTTGATCTTGGAACCTTTATCAGCAGATGACTCAGATGCAATGACGTACAAAGAAATTTTTACGAAGGTGAAGAAAGAATTAGCAGATATGAAAGAAGGGAAAAAAATTTCTTTCAGTGAATTTTTACAATCACTGAACCTGGAGAAAGAAGATTACATAAAGTCAGTTAGAAGTTCCATTGATAGACCACAGCTTTTTCTGAAGAGAAACCCTTGTGAAATAAGAGTGAATCCTTACATGAAAAATGTTTTGTCAGCATGGCGAGCTAATCATGATTTGCAGTTTGTCCTAGACCCATATGCATGTGCCATGTACATTGTGTCCTACATTAGCAAGTCTCAACGTGGTATGAGTAATCTGCTTGATCAAGCATGTAAGGAAGCAAGGGAAGGAAATATGGATTTGAAAAAACAGGTTCGACACATGGGAAACAAGTTCTTGAATGCAGTTGAAATCAGTGCACAAGAAGCTGCATACTTAAATTTACAATTACCTTTGACAAAAAGTTCAAGAGATGTTGTGTTCATAAATACTTCACCTCCAGAAGAAAGAACCTTCTTGTTAAAAAGTAAATCTGCTTTAGAAGAATTGCCAGAGAATTCCACAGACATTCATGCAAGCAGTATAATCAAGCGTTATTCACAGAGACCAAGGCAGCTTGAAAACTGGTGTTTAGCAGATTATGCCGCTGAACTAGAAATTATATACCCAAAAGAATTTAAAGAAAATGAGGAGTTCCAAGAGCAAAATGATGATACTGAAGATGAACAAGAATTGAAAGACTTGGAAGATGAAGAAATGGATTCAGAATTGATTAGAATTGTTATGAAAAATGGCATCATTATTAGACAAAGGAAGAAGCAAAATGCATCCGTTATGTCAACTACTCCATCAAAATTGATTCTGAAAATCATTTTAGAGAAAGAATTTTACTCTTCCATCCATGGAGAAAGGAACAAATTGACATTAAAGGAAACTCAACTTATGAAGAAAAATACAATCAACTGAAGAGTTTTATAGCTGCTAAAGTTAAGAAGTACGAACGCAATGCAGAGGAGCTGGAAAAGGCACAGAGACAAGCTGAAGAGGTTGATGTACAATTTGATAGAGTAGCACCTAGCACAGAACAAACTGAAGAAGAGGACTTGGATGAAGGGAGTCGGGAAAGTGAAGCATTTGTGTATTTTGACCCTAAGCGTCCATTAAATCACCAGACCTATGACATAGGAATGGATCTTGGATTACCATGTAGTGCTAACAATGATGATCAAACTCATCAGTACAAGATGACCAATGAGCAGTATTTCCAGTTAGTTAGCAAGTTAAACAAAAAGCAAATGGAGTTTTTTACTCATGTGCTTCATTGGATTAAAACTAAAAAAGAACCACTTAGAGTTTTCCTAACTGGTGGTGCAGGAGTTGGAAAGTCTGTTGTTGTAAGAGCTTTGTATGAGGCACTCACAAGACACTATTGCTCTACTGAAGGTGAAAATCCAGATGACTGTAAAGTTTTACTTTGTGCTCCAACAGGAAAAGCCGCATTCAATATAAAGGGACAGACGATACATTCAGCATTCAAAATTCCTGCAAGTCAAGGATTTAACTGCAAGCCACTTGATAGTGAATCCTTGAACACCCTTAGAACAATGTACAAATATTTGTCAACGGTCATCATTGACGAGGTTTCAATGGTTGGAAATTCACAGTTGAATTGTGTGCACGAGCGTTTAAAGCAGATTAAAGGCAGTAAAGAATTACTTTGGAGGTATCAATGTCATTTTAATCGGGGATCTTTTCCAGTTAAAGACAGTCATGGATGGATGGGTTTTTGATGACTTGAAGAAAAACTTTGGACCATTGGCAACTAACCTATGGCGGGACTTGTTCACAATGCATGAACTTACGGAAATAATGAGACAGAAAGATGATGTTCATTTTGCTGAGTTACTTAACCGTTTAAGAGAAGGAAATCAAACTGAAGCTGATATACAGACATTGAAGCAGCGCTGCGTAGATGAGTCACAACCAGTATATCCCAGAGATGCTCCACGATTGTATACAAGAAATGAAAGTGTGAATGCCTACAACAACCAAGTGTTTCTGCTAGCTGATGGTGAAAAGGTTAATATACCAGCTCATGATTCTGTAGTGGGTAGGGAAAATTTATTACAGCACTTGAATTTGCCAGATGACTCCTCTAAAACAGCTGGATTGGCCAAAAATGTTCCCATAGCACTTCGTCTGCAATATGAAATCACTGCAAACTTATGTGTGGAGGATGGGCTGACAAATGGTACATCATGTAAGGTGGAGTACATAGAGAGGAGACAAGAAAGCACTGAAAGACCAAGTATAATTTGGGTTTCTTTTGATGACAGAAATACTGGAAAATTATGGAGATATCAGTATAGACATCTGTTTGGGCCTGAAGTAGATAAGTCTTGGACACCAATATTTGACGTGAGAAGAAGCTTTCAGTACCTGCGACACACTGTTGTACGTATACAATTTCCATTGCGACTTTCTGCAGCCAAGACTATACACAAATCTCAGGGGGACACAATGGTTCAAGCTGTAATTAATCTTGATATGAATCCAAAATTTACATTGCCACACATTCACTATGTTGCACTAAGTAGGGTAACAAAGATTACAGGACTTCATATTTTGAGTTTAAATGAAAACAAAATTTGTGCGTCTGAGAAGGTGAAAAAAGAAATGTGTAGACTACGCACAGAAGCAACTTTACAGTTATGTTTCAAGCCAATAGATTCGACAAACAACCAGACCATAAACATTGCGTTTCAGAATGTGAGATCACTGCATGCCCATTTTGCCAGTTTCAAGACTGAGCCAAATCTTCAACAGTGTCATATCATAGGAGTGGCGGAAACTTGGTTGACAGCATCAGATGAAAATGAAGACTATGAATTGGAGAATTACAACATGTTCAGGTTGGATTTTGCATTGAATCGGCAATGTGGCAGACCCCATAGAGGAATTATTACATACATAAGAAATGACTGTCAAATCAATAATCATGTTAGCCACTCAGACAAAGACATAGAATGGCAGTACAGTGAAATAAAGTTCAAAAATGAGAGTTATCAAGTTGTTGTGCTGTATAGAAGTCCAAGTTCTACTGTTGAAAGAGCAAAAAACAACTTTATCAACAAATTGTCTAAAGTAGTAAAGAATCATCAGAATATAATCATTATTGGGGATTTCAATATAGATCTATGTAATGGAGGCTCTTCAGTGGCAACATACATGTCTGAAGCTTTCAGTTGTAAACAAATTGTGTCGAAGACAACCCATTCTTCTGGATCATTGATAGACCATATTTACACAAACATGACATGTAATAGTATCACTGATGTCATTGAAAGTGTTTATTCTGACCACAAAATAATATATACATCTTTAGCTAGAGATTTTTGAAGGAACATCTTGGAGGAAAAAAAAGGGTTCATTTTATATTTTTATTAATGCATTGAAGCCAATGCCTCTTCAATGATGTCTGCCTATCCCAGAGAGGGGTAACATACCAATGTCTGACTCGCCGTGTGCGTTTGTACACCAGCGAGTGTACCTTCACAAGTGTGTGAAGCAGGGCAGGCGCCACTACCTGACTCGCTGCGTGCGTTTGTACACCAGAGAGTGTACCATCACTAAGTTGGTGATGCAGGTGGTTTTGAAAGTCATTCTCATAAGGTGTTGTTCACTTAAAGTGCATTTATCCCTCAGTATTTATTTCCCACTGAATTTTTTTTTGTTTCCCTGGTACAGTATTGTTAATATTATCTTAAATTACAAGTATAAATATTACATCTGTAAGATAGCTATTGAAAAAAAACTATCTTTGATATTCTGTTCTTCCTATGTTATTTGTGATACATAATATGACTATATTCATAATATGAATTTGGGTGTCTACAAGTGCATAAATCTCTGCTTATATATTTTATATATGTATGACTCAACTATATGTATATCATGCTTTTGATGAAAATATGAAGTCCCTTATGCTTAAAATCATAAGGAATGTTTATATGTAAGAATAATTTTTAAGTATTGTGCTGAGGGATACACATTAAGTGATATTTGTTTTAAAATGTGATATTAGCTCCCAAAGATATGTATAATTACTGTACTTGCTAATTTCAATTATTGTAATGGCTTGATCATAATAACAGAGTTGTGCATGCTTGTAAATATTTTAACTAGTACTAATGAACCTTTCTGAAAAGGTTTATGCAATATGTTTTGTTTTGATCTGATTTTCTTTTCTTTTTTTTTTTTTGGGGGGGGGGGGGGGTCCTCATTGTTATTTTCATGGTTCAAAAACTGATATAACTGTGAATATACATTATATGATATGCATTAGTACATAAAACTGTGAAAGACATATGTACTGGTTTTTTATGTGACATACTTGCAGGAATATAGACAATAATTTTTGCTCCAAATAATATGCTTAGGTCCTTATTACATTTATCATGTTAATATGTTATAAATGAATAAGCTTGTGTATATGCTGTATATTCCGAGCATCTTGTTGACAATTCTTGATACTTACTGAGACAATATTGAATGTATGTATCCATGCGCTGATGTACACTTAAAATAATTATTGTTGAAATACGACATTAATTAAAGCTGACCAATATTTGAATTCATATAATTATATTCATAATTGTTGAAATTATATGACAATATCAATATTGCATTTTATGACATACACATTTGTATCCCTCTTAGTTAATCTTCTTGATTATTTTATATCACACTCTTAACTTTTTTTTTTTTAAAAAAAGGTGTATTAATGCTTATAGCAATGTGGTGTAGATTTGAATTAAGTATATTTGAAATATTTCATGTAACAATTTTTAAAATTTCAATTAATTTGGTAACCAATTTATGGATTAATACTACAAGATACTGCACAAACATTTTAGTAAGTCAAAAGACATTATACATGTTACTTGATTTAATTTTATATTGTACTAGTTAAATACAATAATAATTATTTTTGGATACTTTATATGCTTTTTATTATGATTTTTAAAATCATGCAACACTAAGTGTTCCATCAAGGACAGATTGTGTTTTGATTTGTCAAACAATCCTTTGACTGCATTTCACACTTCTTTGAATTTCAAAATACTATTATGAAAGTAGTCTGTATTTTGAACATTTGACTATATATTATCATCAGTATATATAGATATTAAAAAAAATTGCATAACAAATTTATTGACAAATGAATATTATGAAAAAAGGATGTCACTGCATGACCATCATGTAAAGGGAGGTAAACCATCCTTCTTTAAAAAGAGTCATGCATTATTCATCAAGTATATACTATGATGATGAAATAAGTATTGAGAGGTGAGTATAATTGGAAGAAGGAGGTCACTGGCCAGCCCGTAAAGGGAGGTAAACCATTCTTCTTCACACATTTTCCATACACTATTCATCAAGTATATACTATGATGATGTACATGAGACTGTTTTCCAAACATATGAAAAACATGTATATATTAATCACAAAATACTTTGATAAGTACAATTTGAACATGGATTTGTATGTCAGATAATATTGAATATAAGAGCACATTTCAAATCATGATCTGTCCTGCTTCTGTGTCATGTAATTTACAGGATTGCACACAGTTTTCATATTGTAGTAGTGCACTAAATCAATTGATGTTAAGTGTATTATTGAAAGTTGAAAATTGAATGTATCATTCTTCAAAAACTATTTTGTCCCGTATTGTGTACAATTTGAGTTCATGACTATCAATCAGAGTTTGTGTAACAGTGAATTCTTTATATGCTTATAATGATTACAAAATTGATTTTTTTTATGAACTTTTTTTATAACCTAAAATCAGAATATATAAATTGAACAATATTCATTTTGTCCTTTGTCTTTTCTCATTGCAAGCTTGTGTACAGATTGTCTAAAGGAGATGAAAAATAATCATGCTTTAAATGATGAGTTTAGTTAGATGGTTCAGTTGTTACTTCATAGCTATAGAGGTTACATTTAAATTATCACAATGACTATAGAATCATTTCATCTTGAACAAAAGGCAGGCAGAAAACTCATTAAGACTACTGGTACTTGTACTGGTATATGATCCACTGATTTGCATGAAGAACTGATAATTACATAGAATGTCGAACATATAAGTCCCCCCTCCCCCTCCCCTTTTATGCCTGTTTGATCAAACCAGTAGAGCTACAGTCTCGACAGAGACTTCTGGTTTTTAGTAGTTCTGTAAAAAAAAAAATCAATAATGATAACGTGCATAAAAATTGTGAGTAATTTTTTTTTAATTACTTTAAACTAAGTCTCCATTGTTATTATTACGCTTTGATTTAATTTTTATTTCTCATCAGATAATTATTAATATATGATCATATAAAAAGGATCTCCCAACATATGATGTGAACGCAATCGTAATGATTTTCCGGATAATAATTACAATGATAAAAGCGATGAGTGGAAATTGAAAAGTGTGTAAAACTAGTAAAAAATGTTTTCAATATGCTTCAGCTGCGAATTACACAATAATGCTTTTTCTAAACATTGCGTTTATTGTGTTGTCCATCAATGCTTCTTGCAACATAGTCTGCAGAAATCATCGGTATCATCACATGACAAAAAATCCAGGTATTAGCATGTGGTTCAGTGGATTGATTGATTGATTGTATGTTGTTTTACGTCCCATTCGATAATTTTTCACTCATATAGAGACGTCACCATATACCGATGAAGGGCTCCAAATTTTGACCTTTACTCGGCACTCAGGGCCATTGAGCAGTGAGGGATCTTTATCTTGCCAACGCCTGCCGTGACACGGGGCCTCGGTTTTTAAGGTCTCATCTGAAGGACCCGCAACTTTCACTTCAAAGTGCCGAGCGCATGGCGAAGGAACAGTTGCTACCTATTTTTATCGACTTAGGTCAGTTGCGGCTGATATTCGAACTCACGACCTCCCGATCACGGAGCGAGCGCTCTACCAATTTATATTTTAAATGAAATTTAAATTATATCATTTATACTTCATTTTGACGGCAATACTTTTTACCAGTGATCACTGATTTCACATCGATGAATCAATTTGATGAAAAAATGCAATGAAATTTCTTTTCATCTTGGAATTCGTGTTTTTTTTTTTTTTTTTTTTTTTTTTGGTTAGTTTGTTTGTTTGGTTTTGTTTTGTTTTGTTTTTTTTTTTTCTGTTTGTTTTTTTAGGTCACCTGGGTCACTCAGGTGACGTATTGCTGTCCGCTTTTGTCCGTCGTCGTTTGTCGTGCGTTAACATTTAAACATTTTCAGCTTCTTCTCAGAAACCGCTCAACCAATTTCAACCAAATTTGGCATATAGCATCTATGGGTGAAGGGGGACAAAAATTGTGCATTTCATGGTCCCTGCACCCATGGGGCCTGAGGGGTGGGGCTAAAACCACCAAAATTAATGCAATCTTAAAAAAATCTTCTTCTTTACTCTTGGACATCAAGCAGTCAAACTGTTGGCATGATTGTAATGAGCAATGAGCCCTCTACCAAAATTGTGAAATTCATAGCCCCAGGGTCAGGGGTTCTGGTGTTAGGGCGGGGCTCTATTGATTATATAGAGAAAATGCGTTAAATCTTTGAAAATCTTCTTCTCTGCTCCTGGGTATTAGATAAACTAACTAAGTATATGGTTATAATGAGCTTGACTGCCTCTCCCAAAATTGTGAATTCTATGACCCCAGGGTCAGGGGTTCTGGTTTTAGGGCGGGACTCTATTGATTATATAGAGAAAATGCATTAAATCTTTGAAAATCTTCTTCTCTGCTCCTGGGTATTAGATAAACTAAGTAAGTACATAGTAATAATGAGCTTGGCTGCCTCTTCCAAAATTGTGAATTCCATGACCCCAGGGTCAGGGGTTCTGGTTTTAGGGCGGGGCTCTATTGATTATATAGTGAAAATGCATCAATTCTTTGAAAATCTTCTCTGCTCCTTGGTATTATTTAAACAAAGGAAGTGCATGGTTATGATAAGCAAGAATACCTCTTCCAAATTTGTGAAATTCATGTCCCCAGGGGTTCTGGTGAAAGGGGGGGGGGGTTCTATTGATTATATAGTGAAAATTCATAATTTCTTTCAAAATATTTTTTTCTAATCCTGGTTATAAAGCAGAGAAACAAATGTATAGTTATGATGAGCAAGGATGCTTTTACAAAATTTTTAAAACTTGTGGTCCCAGGGTTTCTGTTGTGTCTGGGGGGTGGGGGGGGGGGGGGGTGGGGTCTATTGATAATAAAGTGAAAATGGATGGATTCTTCGAAAATCTTAAACTACATGTAACTGCATAGTTATTATGATGCGGGTACCTCTTCCAAATTTGTAAATTTCCTGATCCTGGGTCATGGGTTCT